CTGGTGTGGTTTTTGTGGGCTCCCACGTGGCTGTGGTGGGGTTAGTAGATGCAGTGTTTTCCCCAGAGCACCCTCCACTCCTCCTTCCAGGGCTGTCCTGCTCCAGCATGGCTAACGCCAGCATCTCTGCCTGCTCATTTGTGAATGTAAATGTTCCAAAGGACCCAGATGATGCACCGATAGTGTGGCCCTGGGGAAGCATGGACGCCACAGAAAACCCTCTACCACCCCCAGCTCCAGAAGACATGGGAGAATCAGTCTGCCTGCTAGAGGTCAAAGAGTGCTCCAGAGTTTGATCATCTAAGTTAGTGTACACCTGTTGAGACAACGAAAAGTCCTTTCTAGGAGGAATGTCAGGAGCCACTACTAAGCTCTCTTTGGCTGCTGGTGTGGACTGCATCTCCTCCTGAGCCTCACTGTTTGGTCTAGGGGCCTGAGGCGGTTTGCCCTCAGTAGGATGGCAGGAGGACAGATTGGGTGTGCTCACATCAGTCTGCTGTGTTGTAACTCTGGGAGCAGTGTTCCTTTTACTAATATCTGAACTTGTTGTAGGGGTTGTTGCAGAGCTGTGCATAGCAGAAAATGCAGGTGCAGATGATGACAGAGTTGTGGACACAGAAGATGAAGGAGTGGCTTGAGACTCCTGTTTATTACAAGGCAGAGAATCTTGTGAAGCAGATCCCTGGGAACCACAAGGTGATGTTTGTTGGGTAGTCTTATTAAAAGGTAACGGTGCAGTTGCTGTGGTACTGCTGGTGCAGACTGGAGTCAAACATACAGTAGAAACAGAGGAAGAAGTGTACAGAGTTTCAGAGGCAGCTGCTGAGGTCACCACAGGTCGGTTTTGTCCAGAAGCAGCAGTGCTGGCAGTGCACTTAGTTTGTGTTATGCTAGTTTCTGTACTGGTGATAGGATGTTTAGCCTCAGCAGTTGAGAGCTTGGTTACAGCTGAGTCGCTGCCAGAAAGTGGAGATACTTTACTCTTGTCAACCAAGTCTGAACTAACCGATGGCTCGATCGATGTGGCAGTGACTGTTGTAACTGCAGTTGTGATGCTGCTAGTGTTAGAATGACTGAATGTCGAATCACTCTGAGACGCACTGACAGAGGTTTTATCCCGTGGATGGGATTGACTAAACACAGCTGGCCCGCTGGATGAACTGCTTACAATCATTTTCTGTGTGTTCTGTTGTGTAGTGACACTACCTATAGCTTTATCTATAGCTGTGACAGCTGTGGTACATGTGGAGTTAATGTCTGTGACTTTAACAGATGCAGACTGTAAAATTTGAGATCCTGTAACCTGAACTGTCTGGCTCTCTCCTGTAGCAGTTATTGGCTTGGCACAAAGAGATACAGCAGGTTGTGGGGGACTGGTTTCCTTTTTCTTTGCAGCTTTAGTCCTTTTTGCTGCTGCTCTCTTCATATTCAAGGCTGTGCGAAGCCTCTTTGCTGAAGGCTTAGAGGTACTAACCACCAGCCCTGATGTGACTGGGACCTGTAGCTGTCGGGCAGGTAGTGCAAGTGTGGCTCCAGAGATGGATGCTGGAGCAGGAGGCTGCTGCTGCAACACTGATAATGGAGCAGGTGGAGGCTGACCATTGTTCTGACTAGAAATGTTAAGAGGAAGACCCTGAGAGATGCTCTGATTGAGACTGCTGAGGGCCCCTAAGCTGTTGAGAGCCACATTAGTAGTCGGTTCCTCACTGGTAGTGGGCTGGACTAGCTGCAATGTACTCTGGCCACCCTGGGAACTGGCCTTATCAGAAGTCTTCACAGGCTGCAAGGCAAACACCTGTCCATTCACAGTGATAGTCTGCGGGGTTGTAGGAACTGGTGGAGAAGATGATGTCTGGGTGGCCTGCGGAGGATGGCTCGCTTGAGGCTGAACAGGGCGAGGAAGAATGTGCACCAGCTGCTTTCCCCCTACACTTTGCAAGGATGGTGCAGACACCGAGGTGCTGGTCATGGGTATCTGAGTGGAAACAGTAGGGATAGCAGCAGGCACCATGCCAACTTGGGGATTCTGAGCAGAAGTTGCAGCCTGATTGGGTGCCTGGATGATTACAAAATGCTGACATGGTGTTTGACTTGTTATTTCCTCCCTCACAACTGGCTGGGTAGGGCAAGCACTGGCCTGCTGCAGGATTACAACACTTGGATTGTTTGTGTTCTGTGGTACTGTAACACCTGAAGCAGTTGCTCCACCTGGGTTGACTTGCAACACCTGCATGGTCTGAAGGAGAGGAAGCACGGTGGCCTGTGGCTGGGGTACCAGGGCTGGCTGAGGGAGGGGTTGAGGTTGTGGGATTATGGCTGGTTGAAGAAGAGTAGGCTGGGGCTGAGACACGACTGCAGGGTGGGCCACCACAGGTGGCTGCTGCACTATGGCTGATTGAGGAAGAACAGCACACTGAGGTTGGCATGCTAGGATAGGCTGAGGCTGTGTCTGGTTTAGGACTGCTGGCCGTATCTGGGGTGCTCTTTGAAACGGCTGCGCTTGAATGTGACCTGTAAGAGGTGCCTGCTGTACAGGCACCTGTGGTTGCATCTGTATTTGAATTGGGTGAACAGATGGTTTGCTGCCCATTGGACATACAGTCACCTGCTGGATAGACTGGGTGGTGTTGCTGACTTCTGGAGTGGAAAGACTTTGGCAGACTGGCTGCACTGTGTTCCCTGCCATCTGCAGTGTTGTCCAGGTAGTCTGTGTGCTGCCTGCTGCCCCAGCCCTGAGAAGGGCTTGGCTGGTTGGGATAGCAGTGTAACTTGCAGTCCTTATGGTAGCGTCCTGCGTTACCCATGAGCAACCCTCTGAAGCTTTTGTAGGGTGGGTGGATGCAGGCAGAGCAGAGCCTTCAGTGGGGAGCTGTGAGGCTGAAGTAGCTGCTAAGGTGAGGGGCTGAGCTTGCTGAGGCATTGACGTGGATGCTGCAGGAATCTGGAGGGTGATGTAAGACACAGAAGGTGGCAGAGTGGGTGCCACAGTTGGTGCTTCAACCACACACTGCTCTATCATTCTCAGGCTGGGTGTAGACTGAGTGGGTGCTGCTGCTGACCCAGGGAGAAGTGCAGGGGTAGAAGAAGAGTTGTTAACATGCAGCAGGGCTCCATTAACCCTTAATCTGGCACTGGCCTCAGATGATGGCTGAATAATTAATGTTTCAGATGACTGTTTTCCTGGGCTAGTCTCCTTTCCTGCAGGGAATTTCCCATTGCCATTAGAACAAACAATTATCCCCTTTGGGAGCTGGTGAGTAGGGGGAACTTTTGCCACTTTAGCACAGCGTTGTTTGCCCTTCCAGTGGATAGTGGGATCTTCCAGAGGGTTAATGTCATTGGCTTTGAGGAGCTCAATATAGTGAGCACTCTCTCGCCTCAATTCCTCCAGCTGACGCCGCAGCCGACGGATTTCCTCTGCTGCAATGAGGTGTAGAGTTCATGACTTTAACCACACATAATCCATATTCACACTTAACTTGTAGGATACTCCAACTAAATTAGGAAGCTGGTGTGTACAATATTACAATTTACCTTGGACTTTATCTCCTCCTTCCAGAAGCATTGTATCATTTTGTTTCTTCAGTTCAGTGATGTAACGAAAGGCCTGGTCCAGTATCATGTTCTTACTCTAAAAATAAAATCACATTTTTTTCTATTAAAATATTTTGCTCTAATTTCACTATATTTAGGCAAACAGAAACACCAGATTGTCTCTTACCTGTTTAAGTGCTTGGGAACATGGCAAAAGATTACCAATGCGGTTAATCCCGGCATTAATCTTTTCTTTTCTGTGTCTTTCAACTAAAACAACAAAAAGACACAAAGTCATCAGAATTCATGTACATTTAAAGTAAACCCTACACAATAAATCTATGGTCATCTATGGTTTTTTTACCTGCATTGTGAGATTCTTTGTTTTTCTTCTTTCTGCAAACAATAAAATAACGTTAAAAAAAATTGAACAGTTCACATTTTAAACGACCACTTACGGAAATTATTTGACTGAACCGGAACAAACAGACTATATCTCAAAGATGTTTACTTGGGTTTACGGCCAGGTGTCTGAGTTTCAGTCATCTCTGGCATCCTGTCCTCACAGTTGCCTGTATGATAAGGTACCAGTCAACACATCAACAGCTGGACCTAAAATCCATTCCGTGCTCGTCCTGCTGCAAGCAAAACATAAAGCATCCGAACAGAGTATTGATTATAAATAAGAGCACTGTCAACACACCGCTGTGTATCAGCTGAGAAAAATAGTACAGATACACTAGTGATGAGCTCATACTGTTTCATACAATAGCAGATATAAAAGTATTAAATCTGTCAAGCTACACTCAGCCTCTACTACTACCAGATGCTAACAAGCTAGTGTAATTACCCTATCTTTACTCATTTAGATAAAAACACTTACCGACACGTTACAAAATAATTAGAGTGTTACACGAAGTGATTAAACAGATCTTTCTCCTGGGCTTGTGTATCAATATCGGCAGCGAGCGATGTTCATATATTTAAACCTGCAAAGAAACCTAAGAAATTACCTGTTCAGCTAGCTTTCTGATAGCTAGCAGGCTAACAGCTATCTTAGCTTATCGACACCGACATGATTATTAAGCAGAACAACGCCAGTCGCTTCTCGGCCGTGCTCACACAAATGCTGCTTACAGAGAGTAGTTTTCACGAACCTTTAGCCTCGACATTTTGGAGACCGCTGTTCCTGTAAGAACTTTAAAAATTGGAGGCTAACTATTAGCTAGCAAAGCTTTCAACTCATCTCCCAAAACAATCTGAATAACCTAACTTAGTGCTGAAAGGGGCGGGCCGCACGCAGTCCTGAAAGCCAATAGCATTCCAGAGGTAGGAGGTTATATCCAATCACAACACCTATAAGCATCCAAGGAAGAGTTTAAGGTAGAGGGAGACATAAATCACACACACACACACAAAACCCAATTTCTATACTAAATATTCATAATGTCAAAACATAACACAACTTTTACTGCAAATAGTAATTTATTCATTTAGACGTTAAAAAGTCTTACAATATAGAGCTCCAGAAAAGATAAAATTCTCCAAAGAAATGAAAACATGCGTATACTACAGTGGAGAGGACACAACTCTCCTTGCATGCAGAGGTGTCAGAGCTTCCTCTGGGTAATACACTGTTAAGAGATCATAGCAAAACTCCAAAACTTTCAGCTGAAAGTGTGTGTAATCACTGAAGCTCACTGTGGCAGGAAGTTTGAGAAGACCAAGGTCATAAGATGGCTACATAAGGTGCCAAAGGTGTTTAAGGTATGTCTCAAAACACTTGTATATATTTAGAAACAAGCATCCACAAACACCTCCACCATACTACTGAAAATAATGCCCAAATCCAAATCGATCTGATGTTATTCATAACACATTCAATACATTTGTTTGGTTCTCTCGTTCCTTTATATTTTCACTCTTTGTGATAAACCCAGGAGAACCTCTGAACCATTTGCCATTTCAGTGTGGAAAATAAAAATAACAGACTAGTTGAAGGGGGATTTAAATAACAGCCTGGAAATATTTAAAAATTAAAAGTACTGAACGCATATTCCCACTGCCACAAAACCGTCAAGCTTTTCCCCTTTCTCCTGTACTGAGGGGACGCATTTCTGCCCCTCCGGACACAACAAACCGGTCAGACTCATTTCTCATGAGTCCAAAGATTCAGGTGGTGCAGGAATAGAGCTTTGTCTGTTCCACATATCTCAAGTATCACTCCAAGCTGACCACCTGGGACTGCATTTGTGTCGGGGGATGGTCTTTCAAGCACTTTTTCCCTTTACTTTTCCAAACCAACTGATTTCCTTTGATCAACAGCATAGATATGTCCCCTCCAGCTTTAATAACCGCATTTAAAAAACAAAACAAAACAAAAAACAACAATGTGATTTGAAAACACCAACTCTTTCCCCCTCCACCATGTCAACTGTCAGAAGTTGGTAACTTTGTCAACAGGAGCACTATAGGATGCTTAGCTTTTTGTCATTGTCAATTAACAGTATGAAGAGAATTTGAAAAAAAAAGAAAAAAACAACAACAACAGGGGACCCTCTTGTGAAATAAATGCAGCAACTTTTATGCTTGAAATTTGTTTTCTCTTTTTAGCGTCCTTTGAAGAAAGTGTTGAATCCTGGGGCATTTGTCACAGTTCTGTTTCTGTGGAGGTGGCCACATTAGTGCCTTTTCCGAACGCTGTGCCCCTACTCTGACTTCTGAAGCTCTCCACTGGGCAGTGCACAAGGACTGCGCAGGCTCTTTTGCAACACATGGGCATCTGCAGGCTCTATCCTCTTGTAGTAATTCTTCTTTGTCTCAATAATCTCAAAGCCAAACTTCTGGTAAAAGTCAATGGCCGACTCATTGCTGATCTGCACATGACTGTAGAGTGGGAAAATACAAAGGCATTAACAGGCAGCTCATCTGGAAAATCAGTCAAAAATAATTATTGTATGCAGATAAGTTTTCATGCAAATTCTGCAAACACTCACAGGTAAATATTATCAAAAGTTCCATCCTTCTCGCAGATGTTTAGCACATGATTAAGCATCTTTGTACCTGGCGTAAAGGTAAAAACAAAATCACCAATTGCACAACAGCCTCTTCTTGAGGTCCTCATAACTTTTAAGAAACAGTATCAAACAGTCTAGTCTATCATACATCTCATAGAGGATGACAATTGCTCCTTTTATTAATTTTGTTCTTTTGTAAGGTGAACTTGGCTTTTTGAAAGGTGCCCTCAAATAAAATGTATTATTATTGTAACTTCCGTTATCAAACTAATGACAGTAGAGCTTCTATTCACCTGAATCACACATAAGGATCATTAATGATAGTGGGGAAGAAAAAAAAAGTTTCTTCTTCAGGAATCAATAACAGAAACAATCTACTACTACTTACCAATTCCAAGTCTACGGTAGGGTGCTAGACAGCCAAGTGTCATGATGTACAGTCTCTTCTGGTTCTGAGAGTGGTCCACTCTGCAGCACACAGCACCCACTGCAATGTCATTGAAGTACGCTGCAAAAAACCAAAACAAAACATGATGCTGAAAGATCAAATACCTCTAAAAGCCACATTTCTACATTTCATTTCCCATGACTGAAAATCAAGCTGTTAAAGTGCATGCAAACTGAATTCCACCAGTCGCTTTCCTCTTTAACGCATCAATGTCATCACATACAGTCATAATCAGGTGTCACCCTAACTGAAGTTGTCTAGGTGTAAGTATTGTGATGTCTTACCTAGCTTTGCAAGCTCTCCAACTTCCAGCACATCTTTGTAAAACTTGTCGTTGTAGCTGACGGGGAAGATGACCTGGTTGAGGCGTTTCAGCTGCTTAATGTTGTGGGGCGTAACGTCCCCCAGCTCGATCCGGCTACTGGAACAAGAGCAAAACGGTCAAATGGCTGACAACAGGTAAACCATTTCATTTAACATTATATGAACCAAAATACAATAAAGACTAATAAACTGACATCTTACAAGCCTTCTATCCTTTATATTTGTTTATAAGCACAGTTCTTTCAGTCTATACACTCAATATTTGAGTAAACACTTTTACTATCAAAGCTCAAAGATGAATTTCACTTTTACTATCAAAGCTCAAAGATGAATTACACAGATAGTTGTCTACTTTGAGTACTGATTAAATCATCTCTCATGAACTGCGTGATTTCGTCCCAAAAGCTATAACACTGCTGAACTGAACCTGTTATCAACTCTTGTATAGCTTAAATCAACATGTCCCCTCTAATCACACACATACATTTACATAATCTACTACTAACAGTAATTCTTTGGACGAATGCCGCTTAGAAATAAATTTTAACAACACCTGCAGCTTGTGCTTTTTATAACTCTTTACTTAAAAATGAAACTTTTCTACCATCAAAATTGATTAATATTCTCCTTTAAATATCTATAGGATGACCAGGGGACATGGCTGGATTTGTGTAACTAGTAAATGACCCACACGTAGCAGTCCACTCGCCTCAGTGAGAGGTTCACTGTGGTATTTATAGGACGACTACACATCCAAGAACTGGTGGAGGTCACGTGTGTTGTCCTTAAGCATGTACAATGAGATCGGTGAAACCCTAAGTATACAATTAATACACTTCAGCCTTTATTGCCCTCGTGGAATAAGAGAATTTATTCAGAAATGTCCAGAAGCATCATTGATAGTGTGTTACTTTGGCAGATCAAGTTACACTGAGTCAGCTGGCACAAACGCTAAAGTTGCTGTCATGTGTGACATTAAAATGGTAACTTTTTTGCCCAACGTGAGATAGCTGCGTCTAAGACTTTCGACAAAACTGGTATGACTCTGTGCAGGTAGCTGAGGTTCGCGGCAAATACCAAAAATAATCAGAGCTATGATTAGCTTAGCTAAACTGGCTTTACTGACTCAGCTCTCCACTAGCAGCGAGCTAGTTAGCTTAGCTTGTTCGCGACCTACACAAACCGACAAGCGGCTAAAGTTAACGACAACAACTAAGACAGCACCACTTCAGTGACGGTGCTGTCCTTTATATAGTGGCCATGAACCTAAATAAAAGTCGTTTCGCAAGCTAGCTAGCCTCGCCGTCACCTCCCCGCCTCCTCCTGTAGGAAAAAAACAGACATGAAAAACTTTACTTGTGCTAAGCTACGTATTCGTGACCCAAAAGTTCACACTCACCCTTTCATTTTAAAGAGATGATATCCCTTATTTTCGAAGAGTATGAACTCTGAAGTTGTTTCGGGTAAAAGGTGAGAAACTGGAAAGAGTTGGGGTCGGGGATGCCTCCCGTTTTACCCTCCACATGTAGCTAGTTACGATGGTTGCAGTTAGCTTAGCCGCCACACTCCTTCCACGACTGTGTGGAGACGGACTGTCAACCCTGACCTCCGCATGCGCACACGCGCCTCTAATGTTAGATATGAGACTTTTTGACCTGGATTTGGACTCTCAGGCTCTTTTCCAGCCAAATTAAGACATTTAAATAACGGTTTATGTGTTGAAAACATCCTGGTTCTCAGTCATAATTATATAGGGCTCGTATTCGTCTCGCATTATTTAAGGGGACCTTACTTCTGGTGTGACATTGAGGCGTGTGAAATGCATTTGTCTGACCTCCGAAAGCAAGCATTATATTTTTTGGGGGAAAAGCGCCTACGTCTTCGCCCCAGAACTGGATTACTACTACTCAATGAAATCTATCGTTTTAGTTTTCTAAATATATTACTGAAATTATTTTTTATATTTATCTACTCATAAAAAAGGAAATCCGAAATTAGTTTATATATGTAATACAGTGTTGGTCATATGGATGCTGAGATTTTCTGTTACACAACGAAAGCGAAAGAAAAACCCATGAGCCCTGTAGTTCTGTAAATTTGTAGTTTGGAGAAACTACCCCAATAAATACACCCCCCAATAAAAAAAATAAACAAACAAACAAACTGGGGGTATGTATACATATTTAAATAAATGTATTTTATCAAAATTACATTTTTATCGTTTACTCCTAAACCACCTGAAAGATAAACCGGGAGTTGTGAAAGCACCTCCATTTTGGCTCAACCGTTGCTGAAAAGATATCAAACAACATGAGAGATAAGGTGCCGTGGCTCATTATGATCTATGTAATGTAGATAGGTTGTTTATCGTTGCATACCAACAGAACTTACATCACTGTGGGTTTACGCTCGCTCACATAAGGTGTACTTAAAAGTTTACGTAGTCTCCCATAAAACCAATTTACCACAAAGGTGAAAACATAATTTAAGACAAGGGTTTACAACAACAATATGAGAAGCTATGAGCTCGGAGTCGTGCTTTATGCTAAGTAGGTTAAATGACCACAAATATCCACCAGTTAGAGATCTTTCCGGTAGTCCAGGGGAGGATCCAAAATGGCGCCAGTTGCCGCTAGCCCGCAGTAAAAGCAAGCGGTGAGTGAATGAAGTCAGCTGATCTCGCTGTCACGCTCTGCAGCAGCCAGCGTTCCTCTCTCGAACCAAGACAGTAAACGGACACTTCACAGCCACACGGTAAATATCCCGTTTTTCATTTTAACGTCGTTTTAATATTACGAAGTATGTTTGGATGCGTGTGTACAGTGAAACCGTTTAGCAATCCCTATGCAGCAGAATAGTAGAGACAGCATTTTTTTCCACCCAGGCCGACAAACCAGTCTTGCTATCGTTTTCACAACACCTAATCACACACACAGCTAGCTAACCTTGTTGTTAACGTAAGGACAAAATATGGCCGAGTGGAAATTACAAACATTATTTTTTCCGGCTTTATTATTCGGATTTCAGACTCTTCCTGTTGTGGCTAAACAACTGGCTAGTTTATAGTTTCGAATATTGTGCACTCGATCAGCAGCGTTACCTGCGTCCATGGGACTTTCATTTAACATCTGCATGTCAGGATGCTTTGCAGAATCACCTCACTTACATGTAATATTACTGAGCCTGTTTTTACCCAGACAACATCTCATACAGGTCAGAAGGGACACTCGGGTTAAACTCACTACAGACTCCTCAATTGCTGTCTGATAAGCTGTTTTATCGGTGTAACATTTGGTCCCAACAGGAGGCTTGCCGTCAATTGTTGCCCACATTAGTATATTAATGCTGTGGTAAATTGTCTTTAACCTCCTAGGACCTGGCGTCCACATATGTGGACATCACATTTTGGGCTATTTAGACCAAAATACGAAATTTTGCTCTACGAGGGCCTGATATCCACTTACAAGGACATTATACAGCTACTGTTTTATCAAAATTCTAAACGAATATCCTCATATGTGGCTCTTATTTTTCTTAAAAACAAAAATAAGGTTAAAAAAATCTGGTAATTCTTTGTTTTTACATTCATCGCGCCCCAATATGCCCAAATATCAAAGAGAAATTAAATATGCATGCCGTGTAAGAGTTCGGGTCTTAGGAGGTTAATATATGAAGTATTGCAGTCAGGTGGGAGAAAATCTCCAGAGTTTCCACATAGACAGTTATGATTTTGACTTCCCAGTTTTTCACCATGCTGGTGTTCCACTTCCTTAAAGAGACTCATCGTCTGAGGGCAGCCAGTCATGTGCCAGGATCATATGACTTAGTGTCATGTAGAATACTTTTTCCATAGCTGTTGTATCTGGAAGTTATGAAAAAGTGCTACTCTGTGGGTTTATTACATACAGAAGTTAATTATTCCAATAAATATTATTGTGCTGCTTTAAAAGAAGACATATTTGATGTTTTATGTGTAATTCTTTTGTTATTTATTGTGATGTTATTAATCAAATGGGCAGAGGCTTGCCTCTGGTACACTAACAGGTTTTCCAGGTGAGCTCCCTGGATAATACCAGTATTATCCAGTTAAAACCAGTAAATTTAGTCTGGTGTTTTTGAGCAGTGAAGCCTTCCTATGTATATCTCTCTTGCAGTTCTTGCTTTAATCAATAGGTGGAGCTGCTTTATTCCAGCACAGATGGCCAAGCAGCCTAGCGTGAGCAGGAAGATCCGTGCATCAGTAGGAAGGGCAATAAAGGACATAGATGTAGAAAGATGGAAAGAAAGGGGGGGAGCAGAAAAAGAAATCCACAATATAGGCATATTTTCTTGATGTAACTGCAAGTAATGAATATATTTAGCAGATAAAGCTGATCTTGAATGTGTGCAGAGCATCTGCAGGCAGCGCTTTGTGAGGATGGGTCTGTGTCACGACTCATGGCAGCTTGTGTTACAGCTGCATGTGGCTGAGTTGTGAGGTATAAATATAGCAGAAAAAGGAACAGCCTGATGTGGGAAAGATGCACCCTATTCTTCATATGAAAAAAAAAAAAAAAAAAAAGAGGATGCAGTGGGATCCCCCACTAATGTTAGCCGGATGTGCCACACTGACTGACTGTAGTAGGCCAGTGGACTGGCTGGGGAGGTGGCCTACTTCTGCCTCTGATGCTGAGACTGCAGCAACACAAGGAGCCCTGAGCAGTGATGCTGTGCATTCTTCAAGGTTTCTATGGTTATTACAGGGGGAGACAATATAGAGTAGTCAGCATAATGCCAGGAAAAAATTTAAATGAACTCATAATGAAAATATAAATTTGTCCAATTCTGGTCAAAAGTCCACATTCATATATCCATTTGCTTACCCACTCAGCCTGTACAAGTTGCCAGTTCATCACAGAGGTATTCAAATTCATTTGAATACACAGAATGTCTATGTGTTATAAGAAAAACGAAACATTTTTTTGAGAGCTGCTGTGAGTTTTTGAATCAGCACATTAAAGGTGGCTTTTGTAATTACCGCCTTTGAACTTTCAGCACCGGTGGTCACCGTTTCACTAGTAATTATGTTGAAATGTTTTCAGATGTGTGCTGGTGTTCTTTTAACTTTCAGTATTTCTTTTTACCTCTCCTATTTCCTCATAAGGCTTTGGTTTTACCCATCCAGCCACTCTAAACATGAACGTTTCTTTTTACGTGGTTAAATAAGAGTTCGACTGGCCTGCAAAAATACTTCCCAGCTGAATTCCCATTTACTTGCTGCTGGGCGGGCACCATGGGCACCTAAGTTTGTGAATGCAATAACTTGAAAATGAGAAGTTTCAAATTGATACTTATAAAAATAATCAAACGCGGATTATCTTTGTCCTCAGATGGTAACCGGGGTGCTCTCCCTGAGGCTGGTTCTGCTGGAGGTTTCTTCCTGTTAAAAAGGAGTTTTTCCTTCCCACTGTTGCCAAAGTGCTTGCTCATAGGGGGTCATAGGATTGTTGGGGGTTTCTCTTTATTATTGCAGAGTCTTTAGGTTACAGTATAAATTGCCTTGAGGCAACTGTTGTTGTGATTTGGTGCTATATAAGTAAAATTGAATTGAACTCTCGTAGGGGCTTTATGCTGAAAATGAACTAATTTGTCATTTTAAATTTGTCACAAAAAGGGAAGTTGTTGTCAGTAACAGCTGCTTATGTTTCTTTTCTTCCAGTCTGACTAATAAACGTGAAGATGGACATGTCCAAGCTGCCCAAGATCAGGGATGAGGAGAGGGAGAGCCAGTTTGGATACGTTCACGGAGTCTCTGGACCAGGTCGGTCACCACATACTCCTTATGAAACTCCTCTTTCATATTTAACACATTATTACCACTTTCCAGAAAAAACTGAGGAGGTGTAATGACACAAACACATTTAACCACATCTGTATTTCTCAGTCTTGGTCACAACAATAAGGTTTTGTGAGCACTATTTTATCCTACAAAGGCACAACAACTTTGCTTTTACAACAAACAGCGAAATTCATTTCAGTCAAACAAAAAGCAACCACTCTTATGATTACATCTCATCTGTGCTTCTAGTGGTGACAGCGACGGCCATGGCAGGAGCAGCCATGTATGAGCTGGTCCGTGTCGGCCACAGTGAGCTGGTGGGAGAGATTATCAGGCTGGAGGGAGACATGGCCACCATCCAGGTCTATGAAGAGACATGTATCCTTATTTTATTACGCTGCTGTTATGGGATATTATAAAAGTTGATCCTGAAACAAGAAGAAGATGTCCATATAAACAGTCAGATAGGGTTTGGTTGCAGGATTTCTCCATTTCATGCTACTCGGTCTCTTTCTTCCACCCTGGATTTGTGGTAGATTCACTAAAGTGGGTGCATCATTTGTTATGCTTCTTGCAGCAAGTTTGATAGAGCTGCAGGTGACATTGTTTAGGACAGTATTAATAACATCAGTGTAACTAAGCTACTGCTGTATTTACTATCTAATTGTCAGTATACTTCCATCCCTAACTGGTGGTAAGGATAATGATGCTCAAGCATTTCAAAGGCATCCTGTGTCTTTTACCCAGATTGTTTTGGGGTCATCACTGACCGTATTTAAGGACGTAGTCAATTAATTTGGAAAAAGCTACTGTACCCTTTAC